AAAAAAAAAACGAAAGAAACTAAGACAAGCTGAGGTGAACTGAGATGGGGCAGGGGGAACAAGAGACTATAACCTGAGACTATATTGCAAAAGGTCTTGAATTCCAGGCTGTGGAGTTTGGACTTGATCTTAAGAACGATGGGTACCCTGGAGACCTCAGAGCCAGGTAGTCACGAGATCAGATTGCTCAACATACTCCCCTCTTCATGGAATGGGCTGGGGTCAATGGGGGAGGTAACAGCCTCCTACAGAGGCAGAGCCTCCAGGAGAAGTGCCTTGTTAGAGATGGAAAGTTCCTGTGTTGCAACTTTAGTCACTGGAAACTCCAGGCCACATTCCTGGTCAATGGGAAGTAATGTCAGCAGGGTCAGGGGTTGCTTCCAGCAGTAGAGAGAAAAAAGGAAGCTCTTGGGGATCCAAACACCTCCCACCCTTTCAGAGGCAACATGATGTAATGGGAAAAAGAGAAGCCCAAGGCTGCTACCTGCAGCCTACAGCCCTGCCACCTCTGATTGAGCTTTGCTTACAGGTGACACAGGAAAGATAAGAATTAAACTCTGAGGTGCTTTCCAGTTCGAACATCTTAACTCCATGAAAGTGACATATGTCTAAAGTATTGGTCTACCTTCAATTGTATGACAACAATTGTAAAATCCAAAGAGCATGCGTATGCTGACTCCAAAGAGTCATTCGTTCATTCATTCATTCTACAAATATTTATGGAGCACCTACTGAGCATCAAGCCTGTGACACACTCTGGTGATTCTGTGGTATGTGATTTTCTGAATCACTGTAAAGTCTTCCCACAACCTCCCCAGCAGCACAATCAGCTCTGAGGAACCAACTTTTTCTAAAATGACATACAGAAGCACAGAAGCCAAGATTTTTTGACACTAGTACAATGGCGGGAGCTCTGGTAGCATAGTGCCTAAGGCACTTGACTGCTAACCAGAAGGCTGGCGGTTCAAACCCACCAGCCACTCCTCGGAATGAAAGTTGGGCAATCTACTTCTGTAGTGATACTGCCTTGGCAACCCAAGGAGGGATCACTGTGAGACAGGTCCGACTTGACGGCACGCAACAGCAAGAACAGTACAATGGCAGTCATTCATTCTGCTGGAGAGGAAACCAGAAAGTACCATGACCCTGCACAGAGCAGCTAACTGTGGCACAGCTGGCCCCCATTTAGTGATCCTGCCCGACAGGGAGAATGGCCAGACCACAGCTCAAAGCCACCTCTGTGGTGTGAGAAGTGGCTTGTTTTGGTTACCTAGTGCCGCTCTGACAGGAATATACTACAAATGGGATGGCTTTAACAAACAGGAGTTTGTTCTCTTACAGTTTTGGAGGCTAGAAGTCCGAGTTCAAAGTGCCGGGCTCTAGGGGCTGGGTGAAAGCCCCTTGATCTTGGGCTTTAGCTCTGCCTCTGGCTCCTGGCCCACTGATGCTGGAGGCTTTCTTCACTCAGACAGCTGCTGTCTGCTGAGGCTGACAAAACCAAGGTTGACAAGTAAAAAGACACAGTCCTGATGTTACCAAACCACACGGCAGGCCATTAATTCAAGTCCATTGAAAGTCCCAAGATCAGCAGGCTACTGAATGAAGACTCGGCTATATGCAGGGTTCAAGTATGCCAAAAAGCTAGAGACCTTCCTCAAAGCTGCTTCTTATATGCTGGAAGCAGACCACATTCCCTAAAGCAGCTACTCAGCGGCTCCAATAGATTTCACCATAGCACTGATTACCAGTCTCACCATAGGGAATAATTACATCCAGCTGCCCAGCTATTCAACAAGGCCCAGCCAAGTTGACAACCTTAACTACCACATGGCTGCACCCCACAGTCCTCACATCCTATATCCTTCAGCTCATCCTTCATTCATACAGTCACTAAGCACCTGCCCCTTTGCCAGGCACTGTCCTAGGCTCTGGGAATACAGGCATAAGTAAGCCAAGGTGAGGTCCCTGCCCTCAAGATGTTTATATTCTATGAGGAGAAATCAAATCAAACCCAATGCCATGGAGTCAATTCAGACTCACAGTGACCCTATAGGACAGAGTAGAACTGTCGCATAGGGTTTCCAAGGCTGTAATCTTTATGGAAGCAGACTGCCTCACCTATCTCCTCCAGAGTGGCTGGTGGGTTTGAACCACCAACCTTTCAGTTAGCAGCCAATTTAACTACTTGTGCCACCAGTGCTCCTTTCTATGGGGAGCGAGAGACATAAACAAATGACAGACAAGGTAATATCAAAGCATGTTAAGTGGAATGAAGGAAATATAACCCAATAGAGAGTAACAGCCTTGTGAAAGAGATGACATGAGCTGAAATTGAAAAACTATATGGTCAGCAGAAAGATAACTCTCAAAGATGTCCACATGCTAAACCCTGAAAACTTTGCCCATGTTACCTTCCATGGCAAAGGGATTCTGCAGCTGTGACTGAGTTAAGGATCTTGAGATGGGAGGATGATCCTGGATTATCTGGTGGGCCCAATGTCATCACAAGGGTCCTTATAAGAAGGAGGCAGAAGGTCAGAGTGAGAGTTATGAGACAGAAGTAGAGGTCAAAGAGTGAGTGAGATTTGAAGATGCTGTGCTGCTGGCTTTAAGATGGAGGAATGAGCTACAAGCTAAAGAAAACAGGAGACCTCTAGAAGGTGGAAATGACAAGGGAACCGATTTTACCCTATCGCCTCCAGAAGGAATGTAGCCCTGCCAATACTTTGAATTTAGCCCAGTGAGACCAATTTCGAATTTCTGACCTCCAGAATTGTAACACAAGAAATACACATTGTTTTAAGCCATTAAATTTGTGGTAATTTGTTACAGCAGCAATAGAAAACTAAAACAGAGTAGTCAGTCATGGGAAAGACAGAAGGAAGAGGGAGAGGAAACAGCAGGTACAAGGATCCTGAGTCTGGAACAAGGAGGCCAGTAGCTAGAGCAAGGTGAGCAAGAGAAGGTGGGGCAGGAGAGGAGGTGGTGAGGATGTAGAGAAATTAGAATCCTCATAAACAGCTAGTAGATATGCAAAATGGTATAGCTTTTTTGGAAAACAGTCTTGGTAGTTCCTCAAAATGTTAAACATAGAGTTACCATATGATGCAGCAATTCTACTCCTAAACTATATACCCAAGAGAAATGAAAACATATATCCACACAAAGACTTGTGTATTATTTATAATAGCCCAAAAGTGCAAATAACCAAAATGTCCATCAACTGATGAAACAAAATGTGATATATCCATACAGTGGAATATTATATGGTCATAAAAAGGAATGGAGTTGTAGCATACATGCTACAAATATGGATGAATCTGAAAAATATTATGCTAAGTGAAATAAGCCAGACACAAAAGGTCACATATTGTATGATTCCAGAATAGACAACTTCCCAGAGACTAATCCTAGGTAGCTTAGTGGTTGCCTAAGGTTAAGAGGGAATAGATGCTTAGGGGGTGATGGCTAAGGAGTATGAGGCTTTTTCAGGGGGTAATGAAAATGTTCTAAAATTGTGCCAATGGATGCACAACTCTGTGAATATACTAAAAACCATTGGGGTGTACACTTTCCATGGGTGAATTGTATGATATGTAAATTATATCTCAAAAAAGCTCTTTAAGAAAAGTTATAACTGTGCCATCTAAACTAATTTCCTAGAAACAGAAGTTACTCTGGCATTCACAATGGAGGGCAATGCCAACTTGAAACAATCAGAGGGAGTGCTAACCACAACCTTGTCTACTGTCCAGGAAACATTCAAAGTGGTTAAGTCACAGATTATCCAACCAATGGAACACAGTACAGTTTTGAAAAACAGTTGGTAATACATTTTCACTACTGCCTTCACTCTCTGGAAGATATGTTACTAGTGACAGGCTCCAGGCAGGGGATAGGAGAGGCCCAGGACCAGAGAAAAATGAAGCTTACTTTCCTCTCTATCTTAGTTATATTATTTACATCATTTAACCTAGTGCATTTTATTACTTTTTCAATTAAAAATAGTTAATAAAAATACACTGAAAATAAAAATCTAAATCCATGTTGTCAAGGAATATTGCACGGAAGAGAGAGTCATTGTCTAGGAGGCAGTAAGTTTCTGTTAAGGGTAAAATGTAGTGTGTCGTGGAGCCAGACATTGGGGGTTAAAATCCCACTCTGCCACTTAACAGCGGGTTAAATAATACTTCTAAAGGCTAGAACAGAGTCTAGCACACACAATAACAGTAATTGTCAATAGCTATTCTTATGGGATTGAGTTTTACAGTCAACAGAACAGCAAAGTAGAGGTGGTCATTACTAGAGACAAATTGCTGGGAGCAACTTTCTATTTTAGCGCCAGCGGACCTCAGAGATTACAAAACACCTTTTGGATAACCAAACTGAAGTTCAGAGAGGGGACGGCACCTGCCCAGGTTCCACAACGAGGCCAGTTCAGAACATCAGCACATCCAGCCCTCGGATCAGGACCCACTCACTTAAACAGAGTCCCCGAGGGGGCTCACGGCTGTATGCTAGGGACCCCACTCACCGAACTGCATCCAGTCCCACTCGCTGAGGGTGTCCATGTTGCGGCACAGGTCGTCCAGCACCCAGGCGGGAAGCTGGTAGATGTAGCAGGACATGGCTAGCCTGCGACCGTGCGGGACAACAAATAAACTCGACGTGACCAGACCCGTCTTCTCTACAAGGGGCGGGCCGTTCTCTCCCTCCGCCGCCGCCCGTCCAGGAAGTAGGAGGGGCTGGGCGACGGACACAACTGCCCCCCAGCGGTTACGAGAGCCAGGACGCGGCCCCGCAGGCTTGCCCCGAGCTGCTGGTGATCCAAGGAGGGCCAGAGCTGGGAGGGGAAAATGACGCCTAAAACGGGGAACGAACACTACAGTTTAAATCCACACAGGAATTCAGTGTCAGTCGCAGATGACCTTCTGACTCCAATTCTAGTGTATTTGCCACTATACCATATATAATTCACTCACCAAATATTTTATTAGAGTACCTACCACATGGGGAGAGCTCTGGTAGCGTAGTGCCTAAGGCACTTGACTGCTAACCAGAAGGCTGGCGGTTCAAATCCACCAGGCACTCCTCGGAAGGAAGATGGGGCAATCTACTTCCGTAGTGATACTGCCTCGGAAACCCCGAGGAGGGGTCGCTATGAGTCGGGTCCGACTC